GAAAGCTGGCCCCTGATCATGCCTGGTCACTAAAGGTCCAGAAATTCTGATTTAGCAGATCTATGACTTCTATCCCTTCCCGTCAATACCACTGCCTCCACTACCACATTGGCCACCATCCCAAAGTGAAAGGATGGAAAAGTTCCTGGCCACCTGCCTACACTGCAAGACTCCCTTGGGTTGGTCTTTTTGTGACTCCTACACCATTAAATCAACAAACATGTTTATTGGGTACCTAGGTGTTAGTGAAGGCAGCTGCACAGCTGAAAACCTAGGCTGCTTTGGTATTGGATTTCAGCTGTACAGGACCTTCTGTGAGAAGAGCAAGCATATGGTGCAACTTGCTTGTTACGTCAGGGTTCATGGGGATGATGACCTTCTCACAGGGAGCTTGCTCAGTGGTATCCTCAAAGGCAAGGCCAGCTGTGATCCATTGGCTGCTTGGTGGACGGTCACATTGAGGTTGGGTTACCTAACACCCTGTGTCCAGGAACCTGACAGACACACAGACATACACACACACACACCCTGCTGGAGGCAACTAAAGATTCATTCTGTGCAACCTGCAGCCAAATTGGCGATCAACCAGGACTTGCTGGCCCAGTCTCCATTGGAGGACCCCCGGGACTACCTGAGATTTTTCTTTGGGGCACAGGGGCTACCACCCTTTCCTTTTTGGATGGCAATAGAGAACAGAAGATTCTGGGGTGGGGGCCTTCTGTTGTCTCTTCTTATCTGATTGGAAGGAACAAGGAATGCCTGAAGTCAGCTGGTCAGAGAGGACATGTGGACTCCTCCAGGCTGCAAGGGTCATGCTGGGGAGACCTGAAGGCCCCCTGGGATCCCATGAGTGTCTGGCACTGGCAGGAGCTCAGGACTGCAGTTACTCACAGATAGCCCCTAGATAACTGGGCTGTACATTCCCTTTGCTAGGACCCATTCCCTGTGTGGAACCCCAGCATTTGTCAGCCCTATTAACCATTCATTTTGGAATTGGCAGGAACCTTTATGAGGTACATTTAGGGACCCACTGCTGAGCAGAAACCCTAAGTCGCTCCAGAGACCCTCTGCCTAAATTGCAAAGACTTGTCAGTGCCAAACAGGACACTGTCATCTGCTCCCAAGAGTCCTATTCAGCCTGCGGTGCTCTGTGCTCACTCAGTACTTCTTCTCAGACTGGCCCACTCTCTGCCCATTTTACTCCATGTCCCCTGGGATGTTCTGCAGGCCATCAGTCCCAAATGCCACTCACGCCACAAGTGTTTCCTCCCTAGACCTCTACCAGTTCCGGGAGACCTTCCTCAGCTGGATGTGATTTCTCTGCATTCGTCAAGGGTGGCACTTGAGAAACAGACTATTGGCATCTGTCCCTAGTGCTTAGCCTGGGATGGACAAGGAGCTTGGGAAATCTTGACTAAATAAACAAAGGCACATTGAAGATCGCCATGATGAATATGGCGCTCTGTCTTAGATGGGCTTCTGTCATGTGTGAATATTATCTCTTTAACTTCTGAGTGCACAGAGGCTCAGCCCATGCACTGCAGGTCTCCCTACATGTCACAGCAGCCCAATACCTTGTCCAGGTAGGAGTTCAGTGACAGATGTACTTTGAGAAGGAGGAGCAGAGACATTGAAATTGGCTCTCTTTCTGCTTTCTAATTTGGACCATAGACTCCAGTGAGGGCCCATTTCTTCACTGTCTCTGCCCACCTGGACTACCAGATTTTCTCATTCTGTTCTGTGTCCTTCCTTTGTCCCCCAAAGCCCTGTCTATGATTGCCAAGGCCAGGTTGAACCCCTGCCTCACCCACAGTACTCACTTCTAGACCTATCAGGACTGGAAGACTTAGATTCTCAAGCAATATCATTCTTTATTTTCTCTAAAATAACTCAATGTTGATTTCATATCCCCATCCTACGGGGCTGCTCAGGAATTCAACCTGAGTCTTTTTTTGGTGTTTCTCTGATCCTGAACCATGTAAAGGCTCCAGGCCCATCTTGCCATGTGTCACTCACTGGTCCAAACTCATCACAGATGCCCCTGCCCATGGCATGGTCTCCAGAGTTCTGCTGCTCAACATCCTGCTAATTACCTTTAGGCCATGGACTTCAATGGCAAGCCCAGAGCCCAGGGTCCAGCCTCCAGAGGGACTCCCAGTTTGGGCGCTTTCAGGGAACTGGTTCTCCATTAATCTGGAGACTCCAACTTTATCCTAGAAAAATCCTGCTCCTCAACTGAGCTTTGACCTTGGAAAACCAAGAGCCCACAACAAAATCTCTCTAATAAGGAAATTGGGGCCTGCCACCTGTGGGAACTTGTTAAGACAAAGAGGATAAAAAGAGTGGGACCCAGGGACTATTATTTCACAAATTATTTCACCTGATCCCTCTTTTCTGAGCTCCACTTAGGTTATATAAGCACTCCTTGAATATTCTTTACTTCACAAATGCAATCCTCTCGTCTCCCTAGTGAAATCAATAACCGGTGAGGGCCATTTCCTGATGTACAACGTGTATTTCCCCATGATACCAACTTAACAACACATGCAGAACTTAGCTAAGTGGTAGCTGGGCCTCAGGGTTTGTTGACTCATTCTTTGGTTTCCAGGGTTAGTTCTTCAGAGAATGATGGGCTCTGTTCCAGCGTCTCAGAAAACTGATCTGGATGCTTCCTGTCCCCAAGAAGACAGCAGCTCTTCTTGCAGCTTTTCTTGATCGCATCATTTTCTCTGTGCTTGATTTAATTTTGTGTTGTTTTGCTCATTATGTCCCCTAAAGTACACCCAACCTACTGCTCATGTTGCCAGCAAGTGGCAGATTGAACTGGAAATAAAAAAAAAGTGATTAAGGACTATGAAGAGGGAAAACCAGGCACATCCCATTCCACCAGGGCTGGGATCTTGAACAGGCACAGCATGTGGAAGCTGATAAAGGATCTGTTTCACTGAGGCGAAGAGACTAGTGAACATTCCAGAAGGGCCTGTAGCAGATAAACGTCTAATGGCCTGGATTGAAGACCAGATGCAGAAGCTCATCCTCCCACCACCAAGGTGATCATAGCTGGAGCAAAAATCTGTATGTGATGTTGAAAGAAAAGGCTGGACCTGATAAGGAGGTCGAATTTACTTCTAGCTCTGAGTCAAGGGTCCTTATTCACTGTGCAATGTTGACAGTGAGTGGGGAGCCTGCAAATGCAGATGTGAAGGCAGGCGACGTTTTGGAAACCCTAGATAAGCTGGTTGAGCAGAAAATACTCGCCAGGGCAAAATCTTTAGTATGGATGAAAACACTTTGCACGGTGGATGAAATCACCTAAGAAGAGGCTAGCAAAGCACAGCCCCCTCGATGCGTGCACTCCCACAGGTCCGTGACTCATCTGTTGGTTAACTTGTGGTTTATTAAAAAAAAAAAATAGCATCATTCTATTCCATGCTGTTCTTAATATAATGTGAAAAATCCTTCCACATTAACAGCCACATCATACATGCATTTTGAAAATGTATAATACATTTTAAAAATGGCTAAATTCTATTCCTTGACATACTTATATTATACCACCATTTATTCAACAGATTCCTATTGATAGGCCATTGAATGATTTGTGCAATATAAACAATGCTTTTGTGTATGTGTTTTTTTAATTCCACAAATTAAACATGAGTTTAAACCCAGAGAAGAGTTTTATGATCAAGATGAATGTGTAAAGATACAGTGAGATTCACCTACTTTATTGTTAGTTCTGCAGGTTTCTACAAATGCATGCAGTGTATAGTCTACACCATGATCAAGACAGAATAGATCCGTGACGGGATCTTGCTTATTAAGTTGCCTAGGTCTCTGTTTTGAAAATTTTTTTTTTTTTTTTGGTACTTGGAATTGAATCCAGGGATGCTTAACCACTGAACCACATCCCCAGCCTTTTTTATTTTTTATTTTGAGACAAGGCCTCACTCATTTGCTGAGGCTGGCTTTGAACTCCTGATCCTCCTGCCTCAACCTCCTGAACAGCAGGGATCACAGGCATGACCACTGTGGCCAGCCTCCTCTGGCTGTTTTGTGGTCAGCTTCTCCAGTGCCCACCCTTGTGACCACCCATCTGTTTTCACAGTTTTGCCCTGTCTAGATTGTCATATAATTGAAGTCAGACGTTAGCCTTTTGTGTCTTTCACTTAGCATAATAAGATTCATCCTTGTGGCAAACTTTAGGACTTTGTTCCTTTTTTACTGCAGAGTATTTTCCAATGTGGATAATTATTCATCCATTCTTCAGTTGAAGGCTTGTGCCATTTTTTGGCAATTATATATAAAGCTGCCATGAACAGTGGTATAAAGGTGTTATGTGGGCATATATTCTTATTCCTCCTGGTTAAATTTCTAGAAATAGACTTTCTAGGTTGTATGATAAGTATGTAGTTTTCTAAGAAACCGCTGAGGAAGGATTTAAAATATAACAAAATGAGGTTACAAAATTCTTTGGTCCAGGGGAAAGGAGGTAGGGGATTGCAGTCACCTGTGCCTTTCTGACCTATCATGGCATGATTCTGCTGACTCCCTGACATCATAGAGATAATAAACAACCTCAGTATGGCCTTTCCCCTTATCCCAGTTTTTACGTGGACTGTGTAACATAACTGAACACTAGTCCATGTCCTGAACCATGTGTCAATCAACACAATTGTAACAATCAGTTTGCTGTATCATCCTTTCTCCTCCTCCTCCTCTTCCTCTTCCTCCTCCTCTTCCTCCTCCTCCTCCTCCTTCTAATATTTAAAAACCCAGTTTCCTTGGACAGCTTTTCAGGGACACTTATTCTGGGCAATTAGAGTGTGTTTCCCCCAGGTGGTCATCTCATTTGGGCTCAATGAACTTCTTGTTCTCACACTTGGGTTTCCTCGACTTGCCATCTGCTCAGACACCAGTAGGATAGGGAAAGGCCTCAGTGAGAGGAGGACAAGGGAGTTTTCTGGCTTCCCCACACCTTTTCTATAAACAGGATGGGCGGCTCCATCTTCCATGGCCCTGGGTGGAGGCAGCATGCAGCTTGGCCAGCTGCAGAGCCAACGTAAAGAACGGCGGTTTTTCTGCAGGCTCTGGGTCCCATGGGCCTGTCTAAGCTGCTGGGCGAGTTTCCGTTGGAGAGGGGATCCCTGCTTGTCTGGGGACTGCAGTGTCATCTCAGAGACACTGGGAAGACACCCTGGGCCTGTCCAGGTGAGGCAGCCGGTGTTCCAGACTCAGCTCGGGTAAGCCTGGGTCTGCTTTCTCCCCCTGGAGATTTGGTTTTTCCCTCTTTCTTCCCCTGCAAGACCCTGAGCCAGGGGAGACTCAGGAAGTAGCAAGAAGAAGCGGTTCTCAGCACCCAGTTGGTGGGCTTGACCATCGAGTGGAAGGAGGCTCCCAGAGCCTTTCCCCAGTAGGTGGCTTGTGTGGATGGCACAAGCGAGACCTGGTCCCAGCCTCATTTTGCTATGGTTTCCTCCATCCACTTTGCCCCCCCCCCCCACACATCTGGGCTGGAGCAGTGGTGGCAGGAGCCACCCACCCCCCAGCTCTCTGTGCTGCGGCTGGGCCAGGGCCTGGAAAACGTCAGGCTGTGGCAGACCATATGTAAACAGCCACCGCTCCACGCTGAGGACGGTTTTCCACTCACCTCGCTCCAGGTTTCCAGAGCTGGTGTCTGTGTTTATGTCTCAGCCCTGAGAAGAGAGTCTCCTTCATGGGGAGGCCTATCCCTGGGATCCCTGGACTGTGGTCTCCGGATGAGGAACTGAGGAGGCCACGCCTGAGCTCTTAGGTCATCCAGACCCTTGGAGAGATGCAGCCAGGACTTATCTCTGGCCTAGAGCAGCCCTGGGAGGGGGCGATGCGTGTGCCCAGTGGTGATTCCCCTGTGCTGAGAAGGGAAGGGCAGACGTATGGGGGCAGGGGAACTTTTCCTCCCCCACATCACAGCAGGTCCTGGCAAGGTTCAGACGAAACAATTTCAACTCTGGCTGAGGTCAGGTGGCCTGGTTCCGGTTCTCTCTCTGTCCCTGTTTCTGTTGAAGCAAACAAGTGACGTCTCTGAGCTCAGTTTCCTGATTTGAATATGACTTTGTAATGTACAAAACTGTTTTCATTTAAACATGACATATGTCAATTAAAGGCAGATCTCTGTGTACTGATGTGGAAGGGTCTCCAAAGGCAGTATTGGGAATAGAGAGCGATGGGTGGAATATGGGCCTAATCTGCTACTATTTGAGTTTTTATTTTTTAACACTATGTATTCACACACATATTTGGTTGTATTTATAATGGCTTCACTATCACTGGGGGGACACACAGGACATGCTGGTAGGTTCTACTGTGTGCTTTGCTTATGTAACCTATTCTAAATTTAAACAAAATTGAAAAATAAAAAGGTAATTGAAGCCAGGCAAGGTGGTGCATGCCTGTAATCCCAGCAGCTTGGGAGGCTGAGGCAGGAGGATCTCAAATTCAAAGCCAGCCTCAGCAAAAGCAAAGCACTAAGCAACTCAGTGAGACCCTATCTCTAAATAAAACAGGACTGAGGATGTGGCTCAGTGGTCAAGTGCCCCTGAGTTCAATATCTGGTAACTGGAAAAAGATTTTTAAAAAGCTAATTTAAGAAAGTGCTAGTGTTTTTTTTTTTTTTTTAGCCAAGGAGGTACTGTGAATGATATGAGATTATTATTGAAGAGGGGTATCTTGAAGTCTTAAACCCTTGGGTTTGATAATATGAAGAATTGGGAAAATTATGGGGTTAGGTATTGAATAGACATGAGTTAAAATTTGGTCTTTCCCATTTAAAAAACTGAGTTTGGGAAGAGAATAACAATTATGAGTAATAAGAAATAAAACAAAACCCCATGAAATAGTGAACACCAAGAAGGGTGCACCTGTCTCCCTTCCCATGACCCTGTGCTCATGGGGAAGCCACTCTGTGCTCAGGTAAGTCCTGGCCTCCAGGGAGACCTCTGAGCTGCATTCTCCAATAGAAACACAACACAAGCTGCACACGCAACTTCGGATTTTTTAATAGCCATGTTAAAAAAAAAGTAAGAAGAAACAGGTGAAATTAATTTTAATAACACATTTTAATTAATCCAATACATATTAAATACTATCTTTTCATGTAGTCAATGTAAAAATTATTCCTAAGATTCAAAACATGTATATTCACACTAGGTCTTTGAAATCGGTTATCTGGTCTGCATTTACAGCACCTCTCAATTTGGAACAGCTCCATTTCAGGTGAGCAGTAGCCACCTGGGGTTGAAGCTTCTGTGCTGGGGGAGCAGCTGGAGATATGGACTCTCTTCCAGGGACAATACAGCGGAAGGCTCCAGATACCCCAGTTTCTTAGTCCTAGGCTTAAAGAGGAAAGTGAGGGACTGAAAACCAGGTTTCGCCTAGTCCAGGCTGTGATTAGGTAACTAAAGCACAGAACATCCTTGAGTAAATAAATAGGGGACGGTGGCTCCGTGGCGCTGTCTTCCCTCCCCGATGAAGGTCCAGTGGTGGAGAGGGCAGGGCCCTAAGCTCCAGAACAGGGCAGGCTCAGGGAAGAGGCGTGAGGGTCCCTGTATGTAGCGAGTCTGAGCCCCCCAGCCTGGCCCCTCCTTTCCCCCTGCTGAGTGTCCCTGTGGGTCTGCCTCTGCCCAGCCCCCATGTCCACCTATGATCTCAGAATATACTTTTATTTGGCAATTGGGCATTTGTAGGTATAGTTAGTTGAGGATTGAAATGACACTAGGGTAGGCTCTAAACACAATGATTGGTGTCCTTGTGAGGAGAGAAGACACGCAGAAAAAGGCCATGTGGAAATGACAGATGGGAGTGAAGGATCTGTGAGCCAAGGCTGGGGAGAGGAAGGCTTCCCAGACAGGCGTCTCCCCTGCGGGCTCCAGAGGAACCTAGTACTGTCGCCCCCTTGATTTTGGACTTGGGTCTGCAGAGGCCTTGGGTGCTAAGATGGGAGGGGACCCCACCCTGGGGACCACCCCCGCCCCCCAACAGGAAGGCTGAAGATCAAGGCAAATTTGATCCAGCTGGAATTGTGCCATGGTGGGGATGGGGATGGGCATGTCACAATTTCTGGAAGGAAAGAACATTCCCGGAGACTTGCCACAGCCCCAGAGACTTGCCACACCTACAAAGCCCAACTTCCTCCTCCTGCGCCCCAGGTGTACCCAGCCCTCACCTATGCCCCAGGAGGCTTCAGGCCTTCCTGGTCACTGGGCCTTGATTTCTGTCTGTCACCTGTCTCTCCCACCTCCTATGTGAGGCCTGGACTGAACCCACCTCCTGCTCAGAGCTTCCCTGAATGTGGGCCCCGCTGATCTCCCCAGAGGGTTAATTCTCCATGCATGAGGTGCCATTCAGGTGCGACCCCCTATTAATTGTTTTTATAATGAAACTTTGAGTAAATGGTTAATCAAAGCCTTCTCATCCATAAAATGGCAATGATAATGTCTTTCTTTCAGGGTTGTTGTGAAGATGAAGTGAGGCAATGCGTATACTGAACTTGAAATGCATCAGGTGATCAATAAATCCAGGCTGATGAACTAAGCCGTTAGATATAATCATTATCATAATTATAGCTTTGATTAAATCAGGGGCACTTTGTTTTCTCTTTTGGATTTTTACTAGTCATTTTTTAATTAGAGCTTTCTAGTTATACATACTAGTTGGGTTCATCCACGCATGGTATTAATCTTGCTTTGCAGAATGGAAAACAAGATTCAGGCAAATTATGAAGTAGCCAAGCTGATTGGGGACTGTCCTGAGGTCTTCTCTGGGGTCCTGCCATATTTGGCTACAAAGGTGCTGGCCTGGGTCATGTTTTGATGTTTTCTTCTGTGTTCCTGGATGTGTACCCCTCCTGTCTGTGTCATGAGGCAGGGGTGGGGCAGGGCACACATGCTCTGACTTTTCCCTCTTGGTCCTATCCCAGCTGACACCGGAGCTGCCTGTGTGATCGGGAACATCATGCCTTTTGTAACAGTGCGGTTCTCTTAAGGGCAGTGGTGCAAATGAGGGGCAGGCAGGTGGAACAGAATGAAGACATTGGGACCAAGGAGAAAGGAACCTCCTGTACTTCTGCTGGGCTGGCCTAAGGCCACATTGATTGAGGGCTGCTGCAGGATCCATCTGTGTGAAAGGTCGCTTTGCCTGCTGGTGCTGGCAGGAGACCTACTGAGTCACAGCCCCCTTCCTGGTGACCCCAGTGAGACACGTGGGAAGTTGCCAAGTTGTGGGGTCTGGCTGGGGCCTGGATTCCTGGGCCAAAAGCAGGGAGGTGAGGAAATTAGAGACACCTTTCCAAGAGTCCCTGAATTGGCTCTTCAGATTTTGGCCATAGCTGCAGAAATGAATTGTGGTTTTAAAGTTTTAATTAATTAATTAATTAATTAATTAATTTTTATTTTTGGTGCTTGAGACTGAACCATGGGTGCTCTACCACTCAGCTATATCCCTAACCCTTTTAAAATTTTTATTTTGAGACAATGTCTCCCTAAATTGCCCAGACTGGCCTTGAATTGTGATCCTCCTGCCTCAGTCTCCCAGATAGCTAGGATTATAGGCATGCACCACTTTGATGGGCTCCTATGGGTCTTTCCCGTTCAAATTTTATTCAGAATAAAAGATTGCTCTGTCTTCGTGACTCCATCAACGTTGCTAACTCTCTCCTCCTGCTCCCCTGGCTGTGTCACATGGTGCAGTCATGGCTGGTGTTAAAGGGGTGCCCCAGCCTGGGCCGGGGGCCTCTCAACATCTCACTTCATACAGATCTCAATCTTAGCCCAAGGAGTTGGAGGAACGCTCCCAGGAGCTCCAGGTCCTTTTCCATATCACCAGCCTGAGGTTGAAGTCCCCAAAGCAGCCTCTCTGGGGGACGTGCTGGCTGGAAGCTATGGATATGGGAGTTAAGAAAGAGGTAAAGCAGCCATCTTGGGCTCGAGGGAGAGCAGATGAGGGTAAGTAGGTGAACCGAGTGAAGGGGGTGAGAGGATCAAGGCAAAACTCTGGTATGTGCATGTAGGAATAACCCACAGTGAATCCCATTTTTATGTATAATTACACATAGAGCACTAATTTCTAGGGTATATAAAGAACTCAAAATGCTAAACACCAAAAAAAAACCAAAAAACCCAAAACCCCAAATAACCCAATCAATAAATGCACCAAGGACCTGAATAGACACTTCTTAGAAGAGGATATACAATCAATCAACAAATAT